AGTGGAAAGCAGCAAAGCCAGAAGAGGAAACTACCGTGTTTCCCCAAAAATATGATCTACCCTGAAAACAATGTCTAGCCTGATTTTTGAGATGGGCCTAATATAAGCTCTACCCCAAAAATAAGCCCTAGTGAAGGGGTTAGATGTGGCCAGCAAAGGAGGCAGCGTTTCCATTCCCTGATCACCTCATGGAGGCTCAGTCCATTAATCACAGCTCCAAGGAATAGCTGGGGCCAGAAGCTGCCTCTCATTCTGTCTCTCTGGGCACATGGAGGTGTTTCTAGTGCATTCTTGCCAGCCCCGAACCTCCCCACAGTGCCAGGCAACCTCGCAGCCAAGGACCCCTTTTTTCCACAACTCACCTTGTAGCTCTAGAGCACGCGTTGACCACGGTTTGTGCTCTACCAAGCCTGGAGCTCAGGTCTTGCTCAGGATGCTTCTACAAGGCAGAAAGCCATGCAGCATGTCGGAATCGGCTCCCCCCACCTCTGCCCGGCTGCTGGGACTGCTGCACCTGCTTCTTCTGGCCTTGCCTGGTCTCACCGCCATCCTGGCTGCACTGCTTTCAGCAGCCCTGCTGGGCTGCTCCTGCCTGAAATGGGGCAATTCAGTCCATATCTCCAAAGCACCTCTCCCATTGCTGGTCTGCCAGGGCCCCCTTCACCAGCAATTGCACTGCCCTGTGTGAGCTCTGTGGTGGCCCTGCAGCAGGAAGGAAGATTGCTCCGAAGCTGTGGCAAAGAGTTGCACTTGGAGAATTCTACAGATTACATTTCTGAAATGTTAACTTTTAACATTGTACTCACAGGAAAATCTCCCCCTCCAATCAAGGTTTGATTTTGCTTTCTGTGAAGCTTTATGCTGAGAAAGGTCCATGCTTTCTCCTTCTCTTCTTCCCCCACCTCTGGCTGTCCATCTCAGCTTTTGCAGACAACCATCCACTGGGGGTGGAGGCTTCCTATCGTAGGGTACAATCGAACTTCCAACTTCCAGGGGAGCTGTGGAGAGTTTTGGGAGTTGAAATCCCCAAGTCTTAAAAGTGGCCAAGCGCTGCCCATGCTGCCGTAGCCTTGCAGGACTCTTCGCCCTCCTGGCACCACTGCTCTTAGCTGTCCTGCTGAGCTATTCCTGTGTGGCGTGGGATGACTCATCCCAGATCAAAAATCTTTGGAGCTCCACCGGCCTGCCAGGGCCCCCTCAAAAGTGGCTGTCAGTAGAGCCATGCCACCTGTGCCGGCTCACTCGCCACTGCCTTTGGAGCACTGAGCGCCAGCCTGCACATCGACTTGGTGCTACAGATGCCAGGCCCACAGCTATGAGTCTGGCACTCTTCGGACCCTGGCAGCAGCATGGGCAGTCACAGCTAGCACAGCACTCGCCGTTCCCGAGAAGTGTTCCAGCAGCAGCTGGGCTAGCAGGTAGTGCAGTTGGAGACCGGGACATGCTGAGAACTTCGCCCGTTGCAGCCACGGCAAGCAGACAATGAGTCAGAGAGGGTGCGGCTAGCAGTCACTGTGTTCCCGCTTCCATTGGCCTCCATGCTCACTGCCTCCTGCATGTCAAAAAAATAAGACCTCCCTAAAAATAAGCCTGATTGCTTATTTTCAAGCCCAAAAGAAAATAAGACTGGATCTTATTTTCGGGGAAACACGGCATTATTGTTTTCTATAATGAGTAGTACATTCACCAGTGAGGATAACACCATTCAACAGTGACTCAAAATATAAATATAAAAGGTGGGGATTGCAAGAGGGACAACAAAAATTTTTACCAGCATAGAGATCAACATAATTTTTGTTTGGCCAGCAATTTGAGACATAATAAAAAGTTCAATTTCGTTCACATAACTGTTATATTTACATTTTAACAATTTGTTCCATAATGTGAAATCTCTAAATTGCCATTTACTTATCTTTTTCTCAATATACACAGTTCCATACTTTGAAAGCCTTTTCTTTCTGGCAACTAATTCCAGCATTAATATATTCACAACTTTTTTCTTCCACAGTCCTATGAAATTGTCTACTTCTGAACCCCAGCATATTCTTCTGCTCTAGTTCTTGGGTTCAGAATTATTCTTCTTTAGGCAGCAACAAAGTTTGGTTCTTTCAAACTGGATTTTCTCTTGTATCAACAAAGTCTGAAGTAATCTGGCTTTGAAAGCGATCAGCCTAACAGCTGTGGGAGACTGGCAAAGACAATGCATAATGCTTTAGGAGGGAGATTCTCAATCAAGATGCAATCCTTCTACTCCATCAGGTAATTTTTAAACATGAGTTTCAACACTCATCCATTTACCTGCTTCCTGTTCTATCTGATATAATCGTATAAAAGTCTGCATTTGTCATAGAGATTTCAATATTAAACCTGGATCCCTAAGAGACCAAAATCTGTAATGATGATAATCCTGGGTGGATGGTACCATTATTAGTAGTAGTGTGACAGATCGAGAAGCTAACCCTCTTAATTTCAATCAAACTTCATACACATAGTCACTGTTAAAGCCATTATGACAACTGCCTACATATTACCTACTCCTCAATTTACAATAATAAAAAAATCTTCATTAACTTGTTTCAGAGCACTCATATAGAAAGCTTATACCTGAAGAGGAAGGCAGCCTTCATGTGTTCAGCTTTCATTCTTAAGAAACCTACCATAGTTAGTGAAGAATATTGCTTAAAGTTTTCTGCAGTGTTATGTTGAAACACTGTAGCAGCTTGTCCCAATTTCAGTTTTATCAAAGAAGAAAAGAATAATAAACATTAAGCAATTGAATTAGGCTAAAAATATATTTGCATATTTTTCCATTTGATGAGATTACTGGAATGTATGTATCAAGCATTAAATTCCATCAAAATATTAAGAATTTAATTGTACACTTCAGAAAGAACAGCCCATATAAAATGTGTTTCCTATCACTATATCATAACACAAAGTAAGGGTTGATAAGCCAAGATACAATTTGACTGATCAACAACTTTATTAGATAACTTATTATCAATAAATGAATATATAAATAAAAGCAATGGTCTTTAAAATACTAATTCAACATTTCTTTGTGATTTTTTTGGGAAGCTCTACCACACTGAATTCCTAAACAGCATTACCATGTAAGTATGCTTAAAATCAGTAAAATAAAGAGTAATGGAGAATCTTTGGAAAGCCCAGGACACTGTCCCTTCACTGTTGCTCCATGAAATGTAGAAATCTAGGCCAGTGTACATTATGGAATAATGGGATTATAACACTTGCATAGTAGTTATGGTAGGGAGTGAGGTTGTATATTGCATTCTATGGAATACTGTAGTCTCCAGATACAATTTATCTAGATAGTGAAAGTTAGTTCAGTAATAAAAGTGTGTGTGTGTGTGTGTGAGTGTGTGTGTATATGTGCATATATTTATATATATACACAAACAAACAAAATATGATTTTAATTTTATTACTGAGCTAACTTTCACTCTCTAGATAAATTGTTCCTGGAGACTACAGCTTGAAATAGATCTATACTTGTCTCCCTTTATTTATTTATTTATCAGCACAAATGCAACACAAATGTAACAAAGACAACAGTAAAAATAATGGCTTTCTGTCATGAGGGTCTCTTGTGACGAGCCGATAGACAGAGAAAGGAAGCAGTCTGCTTCCTCCCATATTTGGGCATACCAGGGGTTGTGACACTAAATACATACATACATACATACATACATACATACATACATACATACATACATATAAAACTCCGTCAGTAATAAGATTAAAATCCGTGTGTGTATATATGTGTGTGTGTATAAAAATGTTTATGTGTGTGTGTGTGTGTGTGTATGCACACACAAACCGATTTTAATCTTATTACTGAGGTAACTTTCATTATCTAGATAAATTGTTTCTGGAGACTATAGTATTGCATAGAATACAATATACTGCCTCACTCCCTACCATAACTACTATGCAAGCATTATAACCCCATAATTCCATAATGTACGCATTAGGAAGAGGTTGGCCCAGGTTTCTACATTTCAAGGAGCAACAATGAAGGGACAATGGCCTGCCTGGGCTTTCCAAAGATTCTCTTTCACCAATACTTAGTATTAGGCAGACTATTGCAGCAGTTATGTAAAGGTAAAAATGTCTTTACATCAAATAAAACCATGGATTTATTGTGCTCTCATAATTCAACTTAGCATTATTATGTTGCAAGGAGCTTCTTCTAATAACATAAGCCTTTACCTACAACAGCTCATTGCACAATAGAAGAGTCCTCTTCATTCTTGGTCAACTTAATGACCTTCATATCAGTTGAACTACAGATTTCATCTTATCCAGTTAAAGTAATCCATGCTGCAAAAATGTTTGCAGGTTAGATCACTTGAATGGTTTGTGACAGGGCCAGTAACAAAAAAATATTATTCGGTCTGGGAAAGGGGAGACAGGCTCTTACTTTTTTACCAGGACAAAGCTATGAAAAAAGCAAAGATGATTTTAGCAAGGAAAGGGAGACTTCAGTATCACTGAAGAGTAAACTCCACAAAGAAATATTTTCAGACCCTGTAAGCGAGTCGGCTGTGCTGGAGCTGATTTGACCACGTAAGTGACTTCAACTTCGACTGAGAGGTTAGAGAAGAAAAGCCACGGAAGAAGCAAAAAACAGGGGTGGAATAAGTGACCCAGAAAGCTTCGGTGGTTGGGTTTATCGGCCATAATACATGAAAAAAAGGAATCGAAAAGAGGATTTCTTGGAGCGAGGAAAACTAGTAGAGGCCAAGAGTGGTGGGGGGATAGCCTTTCCCCAGCTGGTGCACGACATATGCGTTGAACGAACAATTCCCACGGCAAGCGCTTATTACAAGTGGGGGAGACTCGACCCAGGACGTAGTCGGACAAAACAGAAGGGGAGGAGGCGCCAGAGGCACCCTCATACGAGGGCTTATTTCACCCTCTAGAGGGGCACGAAATTAGAAGTGGTATTTCCCGCCGACCATTGGCCGCTCACTCACAGCTTCAGCTCCTCGTAGGCAGCAGCTGCTGCCGCGGCTACCACCTTGGTTCCCATTTGCTCCTTCGTCCGCCGCGGAGTTCCGTTCGGGCTCTGCCTGCTTTTTATTTAGAATTCCTTCCTTGCTTCCCGGTCACTTGGCAGCCGCGCCTAGGCCTTCAAGACGGCACACCACTTAGGACAAACTTAATGAGAAAGCATTCCACGGCTTCTCCTAAAAGCGAAGCAATGACTAGAAAAGCTGGGATTGGTGGAATCTGTCGTTCTAATCACGCCAACCTATACTAGATGAGTGGGCGGGAACCACAATTGTGACGCTAGCTCCAGCTCTAGGCAACGAATGGAAAGCGACGTGGTATTGACTATCATCAATTGTAATTTCGATTTATGGAAGTGCAGCGTTTCCTAACTAAGGTCTAAAACAATGTTTTTCAACCTTTCCAGCTTGAAGATGTGCGGACATCAACTACCAGAATTCCCCAGTAACATGTTGCCTGGAGAAGTCTGTAAGTTTAAGTTTACACATCTTCAAACTGCCAGGTTTGAAAAATACTGGTCTAAAATGAAAGACTGTCGAAAGGTTTTGATTAGTTTAACGTACGGCACTACCCGCAAAAAGCCTGTGTATGGAATTTACAATGTGGCGGAATTTAGAATACAGGCAAAAAAGTTCCAAGTTTTGCCAGCGTGGGCCAGTGGCGCAATGGATAACGCGTCTGACTACGGATCAGAAGATTCTAGGTTCGACTCCTGGCTGGCTCGATGCTAAAAATTTTCTTCTTAAATCTTTTAATTTATTGTTATATGAAGCTTCATATATTATTTAGTAATGCAACTTATAACTCCTAGACTAACGGCAACTTAGCTATTTCTTCTGCCCCAATATTGTTTGTACACCATGCCTGGCAGGGATATCAGTATTTAGTATAGCTTTAATACTAAAAATTGTGCTGTGCTAAACTAGACGTTGTGGGGCCTCAGATGTTCCACAGCTGCAGTGTGTGCCCAAGACAAGGCAGAAAAGAGGGGGGGGGAGGGGAGACCATCCAGCTACAACTGATACAAAATGTAACAACACAAGGAGTAATGGGTGCCTCCCAGTATGCTTATCTATCACCATTGCTGTAATGATTACCATTTGCATTTTAAGTCTCTCTCTCTCCCCCCCCCTCTCTCTATAGATAGATAGATAGATAGATGATAGATAGATAGATAGATAGATAGATAGATAGATAGATAGATAGATAGATAGATAGATAGATAGATAGATAGATAGATAGATAGATAGATAGATAGATATTTAGTGTCACAACCCCTGGTAAGCCCCAATTATGGGAGGAAGCACAAATAAAACACACACACACACACACACACACACACATATATATAGTTAGTATTGTAAGTCTTGGATTGTAAGTCTATAGTATATAATGCTTGTCATAGGTAATGATCAGCATTATATATATTTTATATACGTATAGAACATGTGCCATTCATGAGGGGCCACCTACAATTTCTGCCCACAGAGTAGGTATATTCCATATCTCTTCTATTAAATATACAATCGCTTTAGAGATTATAGCAGCTTCATTCATAGTATATGTCTGGTTTGATGATCCCACAATTTGCAATGGCATTTTTTCTTCTTCCTGACTCAAAAGCATTTATTGAAACATCCAATTTGGTATAATACCAATAGAAGAGAATATTTGTAGCTCAGGATTGAATTGTGGGGGTCCTTTGTGATCTCTGAACATGGTGCGTTTTTTGCAGACAATTCATTACTTAACTAGGTAACATCCAGTGGTGGGTTTCCGGTTTTTTTTTACTACCGGTTCGCTTGTGCACATGATGCTTCTGCGTCTGGGCAGGTGGGCAGAGCCTCCTGCTGCCGCAACTACCGTTTCAGCTGATCCAGACCGAACTGGGAGCAACCCACTTCTTGTAATATCATAAGTTTAATAATAGCACATTTTCTGTCTGTAATGTGTGTTTAGAGTTGACAATGCATAAATGTATTAAGCTGTAAAGTGTAAGCTTTCTTGGACTGCAATTTTTCTCATTAGTTCTACTGCTAAATTGCTTATGAAATGAAAGACAAGTGAGCAGCAAATATCAAATGCATTTATTCCAAAAACAAGAATATGGCAGGAGGCATGATCCACAATGTACTCAAAGCCACAAGAAAAACTAAATGTTTAGTTTAATTTAAAATTGAATTCAATTTACTTAGATTTTTAAGTGAATATTTTGATTATGTGCATCAAGTCACTATTGACACTTAATGATTACATAAATTTTCTCATTGTAATGATTTTAAATTTTCTATGCATGTAGTTTTTTTAAAAATAAAATAGTAGTTCACTATTGCCTTCTGCCAGACATTTACTTTAGCTGAGATAACTTTTGCATATGGCTGGTCACTGGAGAAAACATTTTTGACATCCACTCCCAACATTCTTTGCTTATTCCACCCCAAAACACATTCCACTCACACAGCCACAATAAGGTAACATAAGTATTACTTCCCATTTTGTCTCATTTAAAATTACAGTGGGGTGCAACATTTTTTAAGGGTTGCTTCAACACTTTTGGAAGCTAAATGCAAATATGGGAAGAACCTTTAAATAACTGTCTCTATTAAAGCTGGAGAAAGGGCAGAATTAATTATAGGAACAGGAACTAGTTTTGCTGCTTGAATACTATTTTGCATGTGTACTTGTACAAAATGAAAGTATATGTCAATCAATCTAACTGGCTTGCATGTTTATGACTTACAATGTTAGATTTTATTATCAGATATTTAAACTATGCCATTGTGCAACTGTGATTTACAAGGGAAAAAATCATACAATAAATAATTGTAAATGATATTTTTATTCTTTTATTCCTATCGTGAACACACAGATTCTTAAAATCTGAGCGTGTAAATAATTCTAAACTCTACAAGTCTCTTCAAAATTTCACTTTTTAGCAAACAAATATTTAGTACAAATGTAGAATCAGTGATTTTTCTTCCCTATTTGTAGGCATGAACATATAGGGAGAGAGAAAACAGTTTTTATTCATCTGGAATAATTTAATATATCGAACACATGGCTAGAGAATTTTATGCCCTTGAGTTCCTGATAAAGTAGAACGCTCAGCGCCTCTTACATCCAATTGGAGGTATCCAGAATTTGTACCTTAGTTCTCTGGCATGTGCTTGTTTCTCCACCCATTAATTTAATAGAGAAGTCCTTGTCGCACCCTCTTCTAAAAGACCACAGAAAACCTGGGAAATAGAGAATACGCCCATTAAAGAGCAATTTAAAGATGAGCTTTACGCTCTACTTTTTTCTTTCCTACGTTCTTAACTCACAGCTCTGTCCCGCCTATTTTTTGCATAAAGCTTCCCGCGATTTAAAGATGAGCTCTACTCTCTGCTTTTTTCTTTCCTACGTTCTTGACTCACAACTCTGTCCCGCCTATTTTTTTGCACAAAGCTTCCCTTCCTTATTACATTGAAGCAATGAAGTTACATATGATGATCTTGCAGGGGAGGCGCTTCTTTTAAAATGGCCCTCTAATTAAATCCGGAACAGAAAACGGAGGGCGGTGCTTCCGGCCATTGATTCAGCACTCGCTCAGAAGCGCGCCAGTTGCTTCCCTTCGTGAGTAACGGAAGTGGCCTAGTTTGAGGTGGCTGCGCCTAGCTCAATTTTTTTCATTATTCCTTTTTGCTTCTCACCCTCTGGGAAGCCTCTGTATCTGCTTTAGCCGCTTCGAACTGCCCCTGTTGCCTTTCCGCCATGAAACTCGTGCGGTAAGTGTCAGCTCTTCGGGAAAGGCGGGAATAATTTGGAAATACGTTGGGCCAAGGGGCCCTAGCTTCTTTTCATGGCCGCCTCACTTTCCCTATCCCCTCTCTAGACTTTGGTTCCTTCCGACATGCTGAAGACCTTTTGTTGTCCAGTTTTGAGGCACAATTTTAAAATGAGAATCAGTATTACCCTTAAATATCTTCGGAGCCAATAATTTGCTTTCAATAGGTGGCCATTCACAAAAGGCGGCGAAGCTATTTCTGGTACACAGTAGACAACGAAATCCTATCAGACATAGGTTAAAATACGGTTAAAATATAGATGCTCAAATAGCAATATTTTGCAGATCTGTTTTTAGACAACCTTATTCAATGTGAGTGATTATTATCTGCTCATTTGTGTATACCACCATATGCTAAGCCTCAGTCTGCTAACTGTAAAGCTGCACCTATTGATATTATTGGGCAAGTACAATCAAGAGGTTGAAACAGATTATAAACAAACTATGTATGTAGAGGCTGTATCATGAATGCCTATTACCTACCTAATTAGACAGGCAAGCAATTAAGATGTGCGTTGGGGACATGAGTATTATAATTTGAAATAGCCAAATCATCATCATCAAGAGTTGATCTGACTTTACTTAGTGGCGGATTAAAGCAGCATTTATACAGACCTTAGTATTATATCTTCAAGAGCTTAAATCTTGTATACAATTCCTTATCTTTCTGGGTTGACTACTTGGATGATAGAAGATTCCCAACTGTTACTACAAATAATTACCTGTCTTTGCTTAATAACATTCATCAGCCAATAGAATGACTTTAATGTCAAAGGGTTGTTGATATTTGCTTTGTAGAGACATTTGCTTTTTGCATGAATTTCAGCTTTTATTGTAATTACGTAAATAAATTAATTTACATATAAAGTAACATGTTTGTTCCAATTATGCAGATTTCTTATGAAACTTAGTCATGAAACTGTCACCATTGAACTGAAAAATGGGACTCAGGTACATGGAACCATTACAGGTATGCGGTTCTGGATGAAAAAATTATCAAAAATTGTAATTAAATAAAATTCTGAATATTTGGCAGAATTCATAGGTATCTCACTTAAATCAGGAGTGTGTGTATGTGGCTTCCATTTTATTGATGCAAGTATATTTATGCTTTGAAATAGAACTACAGCACTATCTATCTGCACTGAGAAATATCTAGCTTTATTAGAATTGCATTCCTGGATTAGACTGATAAATACGCTTACTCAAGGTCACTATATGGATTTTTCTATAACTTCTAAAACTACCAGTATTTTCAGCTATTCTTGGAGCATTGCACTTTCGATATTTTGTGTTTAGTAGAAATCAAGGACAACATTTTCACAAAAGTTTTCATTGTCAAAATAAAAAAGAAATTGTCATTTATACTTTAATACTTGTGTGATATTCCAGCTAGGAGTCCTCACCTTTCTTCACTACTGAATACATTTGGTATCTTAAGAATATGGTGTGGCACTTTTGCAAACTCCTGGGGAATTTCCACTGAGCAAAATGGTCGTAATCAGTTGTAATGAATATCCCCATTAGTAAATTCTTCCATCGGATATTTCTTTATCCATGCTTACCTTTCTCTGGACAGTTAGGCAAGCATCCAAGTAAAAGATCTGGTTGTATTTAGCAAACATTTATTTTGAAGATTTATATGTAGACCATTTATGGTCAATAATTCTTGAAAATAAACTTTGGCTTGTAACACAGTTTCCGAACCTTTTCGGCTTTGCAGATCGACAGAGGAGGATGAAGGAATGGTTACATGTGGTGGCAGGCATGCACACCTGTACTCTCGCAAATGTGCTCACCTGCTGCTTGTGCAAGTGGGGATGTATGTGTTCGCCTGTCACTTCCATGGCCTGGTCCGATATGGTCCAAGGCTTGGTAGTGGACTGCAATTGCCCCCCCCCCCCCCCCAATATGCTGTGGTAGTATATTTGTTTTCCTTTTTTAAAGCTTTTTTTTAATTGTAGAACATCAGGTAGAACAAAAGGCCTGATAGTTGCCAAGGGAGGAAGTGTGGCCAGCTGGCTTATTTGCTTTATTAGAAATCATAGTTCTAGCTAGAACAATATTGTGATGGGGACAGTGGGTATATGGGTGCCTGCTGGGAGCAGCAGTTACCGTTCCAATATGATGCTCTGGAGGGTCCGCCCGCCCGCTCTCCTTACTGCTATTTGAGCTGATTGGGGCTTATGCGTAAGGTGTATGCGTGACATTCCACCGAGCAGCTGGAGTGTCGTGGGTGGTATGTATGTGCGGGCTGAACACGTTCATGTGGTGGATGCCGAGCCCTGTTGCAGCGTACCACTTGCAGCGGGATCCGGAACCCACCACTGGATGTGGGGCGGAGTTTTGAATGACTGGAGAAGAGGTCAAGCACATGAGTAGTGAATGGAGGAAAGAATTTCTGTAAGTAGGAAATATGATTGAGTATATTAAAGAAGAAAACATTTTTTCAAGCAGTGCAGACAAACATTTCTAAGAAAATGCAGGTTTTTAAAAAATGTGTTAATTTTATTTATGATCCTCATGTTTTTCAGCTCTCTACAGTGATAATCAAATGTATAAACGCATTCTCACATATTACAATAGTAATTTATGCTAGTTGTATGGTCATAGGTAGGCAATTTTGTAATAATATAGCTTCCTATAAGATTAGGAAATGTTCTATGCTTTATTTTTCAGGAGTGGATGTCAGCATGAATACCCATCTTAAAGCTGTAAAGATGACTTTGAAGAATAGAGAACCTGTCCAGTTGGAGACATTGAGCATTCGAGGCAATAATATCAGATATTTTATTCTGCCAGACAGTTTACCTCTTGATACTTTGCTGGTAGATGTTGAACCAAAAGTCAAATCCAAAAAAAGGGAAGCAGGTTAGTTCTTGATTTCAGACTGTAGCATAAATATCTACTTCATTTAAGAACATTTTAATTAAACATTTATAATGATGCCTAAATTGCAGCGTTAATTCTTACTTATAATGGCTTTAAAAATAAATTTTAACAATGAAAGGGTTATTTTACATTGATTTATACCACTTCAAAAATAAAAGTTGGAGGATTACTTGCTCATATACTGCTATTATTTTTGCATAATCATGTGATTAATAATTTCTTTAGTGAGCTGTCATCACACCCCTTCAAATCAGCTTTGATTCTATAAAACTAAAGTATAGATTGTTTGGTATCTGACTAGATACCATGTAAGGCTAATTTTTGAATAAAGGAATCACATGCTATCTTTCCTCTCATTTCACAAAAGTTCTTCCAATCTTAAATTCTCTAGCCCTTGTCTTGTAATTAATTAATGGAGCATATAACCGCACACTTGTCACTAGAAGGCAAAATCATGAAATTGCATGTCTTTGGCCATTTCCTGCAGGGGAATTCACTGGCGAAATAATTATGGAAGAGTTAGTGGTAAAAGGAAACCAGGCTGTCAAAGAAAACATGTGGCTGGACACCATTAAAGCTGACATCAGACAGGATAAAAAAACTTAAAGGGTGCAAAATCGGAAGATTGGAGACCTGGCCCATATTTTTAGAATAATATTGCCAAGTTACATATTTTAGAGCATTATTTCTTAGAAGTATATATTTCACAAAACATACCAATTTTCAGTATTTGGAAGCAGAGATAAGTGACTTGATAAGATCATTGTAAGAAAAGAGAATAGTTTAACAAATTTGTAACAAATAGTGATATTTTTTTCACTTTTGAATTACTTTGAATAAGTTTTAAAATTAAAAATATATACAGAATACAAGTGTTATACAGTAAAAACTACTATGGTATGAATACCTTTAAAAAAAATAAGATTGTATTGTTTTATGTTCAGTTGCAGGTAGAGGACGTGGAAGAGGAAGAGGGCGTGGAAGAGGGCGTGGAAGAGGAAGAGGGGGTCCAAGACGATAATTTCTTTGTATCTGTTATTTAAAAAAGCCCCAAAGTGGGTTTTTTAACAGGTTTTATATCAGTTTTAATAAACAAATGTGGAAAATGTGTCACTAAGTTCAAGTTCTGCATTCATACATTACATGAAACCCCTGATTACACTTGTATTATCTTTAACTTTGACAGCCAAAACTTAAATAGAAATGTTTAATTCTAACATTAATTAGAATTATTTAATTCTAATTAAATAGGGGGGGGGGAGATAACAGGTCATGTACAGTGCAATCTCTGCTGACCATAATGGCACTTGTGCCTGAGAGAGTGCTTTGTAGACTGTAATGTGGACATTGCTTGTAAAGTTTTTTCCCAGCACCATTATAATTTCAAATGGTTTTGGAACAAAATAATTTGTAAGCAAGGATGATCATATTTTGAATTTTTTTTGAAGAGTGGAATAGGGAAACAAAAACATTTGACTAGTCCCTTTGTCCTAAAAGCAATAAAAATGTAAAACACAGGCAAGTAGTTTCAATTTTCCTCACATAATTTTTTGACTTAAGTTTCTATGATTTGATAAAAAATATTTAAACATACCACATTCTGTATGCAACTAAAATATGTATGTCTTTAGTTTCTTAGTTCATAATACCAATGTAGCCCTTAAAATTTCCCAGCCCTGTTACCCATTATTTTTATAGTTTTTTTGGGAAGTACGGACATTCATTAGATAGCAATCTAATGAATGTCCATAATTCCCAAAAGAACTATAAGCTCTGGTAGGTAGTAAAGAATCTGACAATGCTTTGCTCATAAAGATAACAACCATGAAAATGAGTTGCATAAATTATGAATCCATATAGAAAAATCAGTTGCACACATTGCAGCTAGTTTGTACCACACAACATTTTGGATGTTTTACAACCATATTCACATATGCCAGAATTCCTTTGCATAATTGCACCGAATCAATTTTTCAAGCTGTCAAAATCAATCTCAAGTTACCTTCTGCTGCAAAGCGTTTTTTTTAAAATGGAGAATGGCTAAGACTATTTTGGTGGGGATATTTGTATACCCAGGGTTTGCTTTGTTGCTTGCTGTGACCTATAATTGGTATAATCTTCAAGCTGGAATGTGAAAGCTGCATCAGTTGCTAAAGTCCAATTACTGGCGAATTCTTCTGAGCTTTATAAAAGTTACTAATGCTCCTAATGGTATGCATGATGATGTTGATGCCACAAGCAGACCAATAACTGCTAGGCCACCTCTTGGATAATCTTTGGTAACCAGTTGCCCCTACAGGAGACATAATCGAAGTATGAAATGGCCAAGGAAAAATATGTTGCTGTTTTAATCTTGGGGTTCATGGTAAAAAATATTACTAAATGATCACATTTTTTCAATTTGCATTCTTTTCACAGTGATAATTTTTCATGCTTTAAATTTTGGTAACTAATTATAATTATAGAATTATTTGAGATTTAGGAGGCAGACTTTTTTCATCATTTTTCCAACTTTGGTCAGTTTTATTGGACTGCAATTCCTGGAACTCCCAGCCAATATATATTTTTTCTATACTGGCCAAGTTTGAAAATTGCATTCTATGTTGGAAAACTGCCACATTAGAAAAGGATATGTGTTTTATGAATTATTTTTCATATTTCTAGACTGCCCATTTTGCCCAGCTCCTACGTTTAAGCTGCCAACAGAAAAAACATTCAGTGAAATACCTCTGTTGCATCCCAGGCTTGATATTGGGATATCCCTGTCCTGATGTAGTCCGTGATGTAAAACACAAACAGGCTTATGATTAATATTGGACTGATAAAAGCCCATAAAACTTTCCAATACCAACTTGGCTCATGTCCAATCATCACGCAAAGGTCTTTACTAAATCTGTTGAAATAAATACTGTTGGCATCTATCATTCCAATTAAAAAGCAGATGTTATAAAGTATTTGGTTAGAATGCTATCTTAAAATGCTTTAAAAAAAACTTGACATCTTGGAAGAAATTGATATATAAATGCAGAATAATAAATCATGCAATGACAACAAGATTATATGGTAAGAAAGAAGCATCATTATTGACTTCTTACCTTTTTAGCCCATATATGTAACAAACAGCAATAGTTTCCACCAGTACAATAAGTAGCAAGGACAGAGTAGCAGCATAATCATTGAAGATATTAAACCAATAGTTACCAGCCCTTGTAGTAAATATTAGGCCAATGACACAATTGACAATGCACACAGAGCCTATAAAAAGAATAAATGCTTTCAATCTCAATGTTAAAAAAGGATCAGAACAAATGTTATATTCTTTTTACTGACTGAAATAATGGTCATTTGATTTAATTTCAAATCAGACAAGATATACTGCAGTTTTTTTCAACTTAACTGCTGATTGCTATAATTGATATAGTAACACAATTTACAGAGAGAAAACTATCTTACAGCAAAATAATCTATATAGTGTGAATCTTGGCCTTAAATAAATATACAACATAAAAAAGTCTAAATTGCATTGTCCCATAAGATTATACAGGGCGGGGCATAACCTTTTCCTAGGGGGTCACAGCAAGATCGACAGCAGTTTACAACTTCCGCGACACCTCATTTTAAAGCCCATAAAAAACTGAATTGAATGAGCTATTAAATGTTAAATTTGTTTCGGTTGAAACTTTGAGAATGAATTTGGAAACTGTGTTGAAAAATCTGGAAAATCGAACGGAACTGTTTGAAGATTTTTTGTGTTCTTATCCACCTCTGCCTGTGTTTTGCTTGTATTTGCTACCATGTTGAAAACATTCTATAATATAATGTGTTATATAAAAAGAGAAGTTAATGAATCCTGCTGAATACAAATGTGAGCATCCTTGTTTCCGAAGAGAAGGCGTGGGAGGAGTAACCAATGGGTATTAACCAAGCCTACTTGCCTATTGGAGACTGAGGTAATCTTTTGGAGCCACACCTACTGACCTCCTCCAACTCCCCCAGATTAACCTCAGTCTACAGCCTGAAAGGAGTGTTACTCTGACTCTCCCTTCTCTTCGAAGACTTAGGAGTTTTTTCTTTCAGGATTCTAGCAGGATTGTTTTTCCAGCAAGGCTTTTTCATTTTATTCTCTCACCTCTCCTCCACCGTGCTCAAAACCGCTGGGAAAAGCCTTGCGCTGACCAGCATGTGCACGCCCGCGCCCCGAGCGTCTGGATAGTCGCAGAAGGGGGGAGGAAGCCTCCACGCTGCAGAAGGGATCGGAGTGGCTGCGGAGCCTCAGGAAGGCAGAGAAGGACCTGCGAGGCCCAGG